CTAACACTGAAGTAAAAGAACCGATTATAAATAAGGCTAAAGTAGAGAAACCAATAGAGATGAGAACAAAAAACTCGAGATATGGTTTAAGAAAACAGCCGAGAATAAAGTACAAATAATTCAAACGTTGACTTTTCAAAAGGTTTTTCATCGATCCGACGGTTTTATTAAATGTTATTTTTAATTTGATGGTATATGAATTTAGTTGTAACGTTGCGTGGTTAAGGGGGGAGAAAAGAAGGGAAAAAATAAAAATAAAAACAAAAAAGGTCGTCTTGACATATATATATCCTATATAAAATTCTCCTTACTTTGTTTGTTCCTTTCTTTCTTAGATCATTCCTTTTAAATTATGTACTCTTATAATAATGTAAGAATTGCCTAGGCAAGAAAAGAACAGAAAAATAGTATATAAATATAGTATGATTGCCAAACTACAGTTTAAGTTTAAGTTATTTTATTGTCGTCTGTATATAGATTATATAAAATTAAAAAACGGGAAGAATATCCCTATATTAAAGTTTTCTGTTCAAATTTGTTTTTGTTTATGTAATTTTAATTAATTTAACTAATGTTTGTATCCACTGATGAAGATTGAACTCTCAATCGAAACGTTTGGAATATAATAAAAATAAAGTTGGTACGAAGAAAAAGTACTTATTCAAAAATTCAAAAATTCAAAAATAGGATCTAACTTCATATTCATATCGACACTTCAAAAATAAGATAATACATGTACCATTGATTGATACCCCTTTGTTTTCCAACTCTATGTTTCTGCTGTGTTGGTATTATCTTACCGTCGTTGGCCTGCGCGCTTTCAGCAAACAGAGTCTTTCTGTACGCGCGCGCGAAAAATAGTCATAATAAGTCATTTCTTTTATTGAAAAAAATAATGTCGATCGACTTCCAACAACGAACAACTTCAACTTCGATTAATATTAAATCTTTGGACTCGATGACTCGCGTAATCGACGACATAGAGATTGCCGTGTCGATCGAATGACAAACTCTGAGGAGAACTGAGCTGGTTTGATTCTCCTACACCATTTCCGTCCACAAGGACATTTCCCTGTGTGGCTCCTTTGAACCAACGCATTATACGATTATTGTAACTGTCAGCCACATAGACAGTGCCCAATTGATCGACGACGACTCCTCGAGGACTCGATAATTGTGTCAGATCATTTCCTTGGCCTCGACCACCGGCTACGACAATACCTTCTTTGGCGCCTTTCATCCACTTCATCACACGATGATTGTTCAAATCCGATATGTACACTGAATGATCCCGATCGACAAAAATGTTGGTAGGATTATTGAGCTGATCGAGACGATCACCTTGTCCATGACCGCCGGCCACCACTGTCCCACTATTCTCGCCCACTCGCCGTCGTCTAACCTCGTTCTTGCTCCGGTCAGAGACGTAGAGAAATCCATTGTCGTCCATCGTCAAGCCGTCGGGATAGACGTCTGAGATGATCGTTTCTCCACTTGTGGCACTTCGACGAGGCCATCGCACCACTCGTCCGTTGCTGTAATCGCAGATGAAGAGACTCTCGTTGTTGACAATTACATCTGTTGGATAATTCAGTTGGTCAGTCCTTGATCCATATCCATTTCCTCCGGCAATCACTTGACCACTTGTCGCACTATCTTTCCATTCCATAATACGGTGATTCCGGTAGTCAGCGATATACACAGTGGCATCCTCATCCACGAACAAACCGACCGGCCGATTGAGCTGATTGAGTTCTGTACCTGCTCCATTTCCCCCAGCCACAGTGACGCCGTCCTGCGTCCAGCTCGAGGTCAAACCGATCTGAGCCGAGCTCAATGGAGCTGAAACAAAAGGAACAAAATTTAGTAATGACGCCGAGATCAAAATAAACGAAACAAATCGACGAGTCGTAAATTTCGCAACACAATCACTAAAATCTTCTCCCAAAACTTTAATCGATCGGGACCGAAAAGACGAGTAACAGCAAAATCTTTCTCGAGGAGGAGGTTCAGGGAGAATTCAGAGTTCATTTTCAAGATCGGTGAACTGAAAACAGAAAGTGTCAAACACAGAATTTTATAACGCAAAAGAAGGAAAAAATCGACAAGAACACTCACTCGACGTTTGAGAAACTCGATTTTTCTCAAATAGAAAATTCAATTCTACCGTGAAAAAATAAGTTAAATTGAAAATAAGAATCGAAGATGACAAAAATCCAATTTTTAATCAATACGTGGCGCGAAAAATCGAGATTTGATCCTTATAGCATCCATAGCTTGAGAACTACATACGATAAAAAATTGATCTTTTGCTTGGTAGTGAGGGTTAAATAGTGGATTAAAACAAAAAACAATTACTGAAATCTGTCAACAGGACCGAGGGTTATAGCGAATATAAAGGGTGATCCATAAGTCTTGGACCCTAAGTCTTGGATTAACATTATCTATATGAAATACATATAATAAGATTCAGCTGTTTTTTGCAAAATTTTCTCCATTTAATTCTCTACAAAATGGTATATAGAAGATGATCCTGAGAGTTGAGATGAGACATCGTTGAGACATTTGGTATGTAAATCAAATAGACAAAACATTTCTCTTCAAAATGACACAAAAATGAGCCTGATTCATTCGTTTGTGAGTTGAATGAAATTCACCGTTCATTTTACAAACAGCTCCAAAATGCAGATCGAAACAACTGAAAAAGCATTCACAGGGCTTTTGCAAAAAGCATTATTGAAAATCACGGAAATAACGACAGAAAATTAGCATTATAGCCATTCGATAGAGAATTCCAAGGGCTAAATTTCGGCCTGTTCGATGTGGGCATAACGCATACATTCAAGCTTATACTGACGAAATACATTCTTCGTTTTTAGGGCACTGAGAGTTTTGGGACATTTCGATTCTGTCCAATTACTCACAATCATCTCTTATATACTATTTTGTAGAGAATTAAATGGAGAAAATTTTGTAAAAAACAGCTGGATCTTTTTATATGTATTTCATATAGATAATGTCAATTTACAGAGAGGGTCCAAAACTTATGGATCACCCTTTACGTCGCAAATTCAAACAGTACAATGGGATTACGAAACACTCACATACTTCTAAAGCAGTATTCTAGAACATTCTGGTGTTTTTTAGAACCTTTAAAAGAGTAGATAACCTCGTATTTGAAGCTACTTGAAGGCTATATACTATACAAACTTCGGCACAATGTAGACGGCACATTACTATATTATTTCAGGCTTTACAAAAATGTAAAAACTAAAAGATACTAAGGAAACATGATCATACGCCGTCGCAAAGTTACAGTAAACGTCGTTTCAGTGATGAACAGTGCTGAAATGTATGAATAGTAGTCGCAATGCTTTATGACTGCAATATTGTCGTGAGCATTAAATTAAATCAAATGAGGCCGAAGGAACAGAGCATCAAGAATCACTGTCCCGATGCTTTGTGATAATGCGATAAATGTGAGCATCAACTATAACCAGCCGCTAAGGAACGAAAAAGAAATGAAACGAAAGAGGAATACAACTAACAGAACCATGGTTACCATCGAAGGTGAGAGAATGCAGAAGATATCTCATTTAAATATGAATTAGATAAAAAGGAAGATGAGAATTACGTTCGGATTAATCTGGTTCGTGAAAACTTGTCAGTAATGTGTTTCGCATTTTAACCCCATAGAGGTTACACTGAGAAGCGATTTTCACTAGACCGTCGGGATCGAGGAAGCGATAGTCTAACTTTTTTATCTAATGCGACGAGAAAACAGTTCAACGCAGAGGCTAAAAGAGCGTCAGACTAATATTAACCAATTTTCAGCTCAACAACCTACCTGCTACACTCTCGGCAAACATGTACATACTCAATGCAACCAGCAATAACAGTGAGATAGAAGCCATATTGGTTCGATTGAATCGACTCAATGAGGGTGCGTGAATGGAATAAACTGATGTCAATTTTGATGTCATTAGATACTTCGCCTGACCTGCTGTTTCTATTAGTTTACGAACTAATACCTCACGTTATCAATTCCATTAAAGCCATATAATTCCTTTGAAAATCGATATGAAATTGAAGGTCACATCTAAAACTGATACAACTTTCCCCATTGTTAATTGCTTTTTTGACGAAAAGGTATGCGATTGTTTGTTGGATTAGTTGGCTTTTATCAAATTTCTATTATATCGTGTTTCTGCACAAAAAACTGTAAGAAGAAGAGTGAGATTTGTTCGGTGTAGCTCATTTTATATATAAATTCAACTCTTGTTCTTACTGAAAAAAGCTGCAATGTTCTTTTTAAAACATAGTACTTCTCTCAATGACCCAAAAGCCGTATTGTCTTTATCTAAAGCATTCTTAAGTCGACCCTATTTCGAAATAACTACTTTTCATATGGCGACGGATTCTGATTATTTTTTATCGTATGATTTATTTTCAACATTTCCATAGAACATAGGGCTGCCATAACATGTTTCTACCTCGCTAAAGGCTTCATAAGATGGCTTCAATGTTGGGTTGTCTGTATTACTGCCACTAGTTTGAGGTTTCGATTTCTTAGTAGCAGTGTAGTTTGTCTAGTGTTGATATTTTTTATATCATACAGACAACCTAACATTAAAGCCATCTGATGAATCTTTGAGTGAAGTAGAAACATGTTATGGCAGCTCTATGTTCAGACATTTTTCACATGGAACGGATCAATCAACGATATTCGCGCTCTTGTTACGGCGCTCGAGCAACAACATCAAGATATTCAGGTGAAGATATTAATCGATCCACGTGTCGACTTTTTGAATGTCTTCATTGAGAATATTAACGATCGTCTATTTACTTGTGTTTATCACGAACCAACAATTCAACCCTATGTCTTTGGTGATTCACAATTAATCTACAGCAATTGGTTTCGAGCGGCACTGATTCGGATCGTTCGCTATTGTTCGTCTGTGCGAGATTTTGATCAAGAACGACTTGATATTGAACTGAAATTTCTTGTCAAGGGTTACTCGCTTCAATTTGTTAAATCCAGTGCTCAGCAATTCTTTGCTCATTTCGTCTGCTGTTCTTGAATCCAATCTCAGTCAAGTCGCATATAACATGCTCCGCGAAAAATTGTTTCGTCAGATCAAGGGAGAATAGTATATCTTTGAGTAGAACCAAACACTTCAAGCTAATGATCGTCTCTTTCGATTCTTTTACCTTTACAAACTGGGCCCACGACGATAATTCAAGCGAATGCTTAATCGACTTTGGATTCATCATCTAGAGAATAATCACACGTTAGCAACAGCTAAAGAAAGTCACGTTCAGTACTAAGCATGTTCACCAATTAAATGCTTTACTTGCTGGACAAAACCATCTTCTGTTCTCCTCAAGATGAAGTAATGTATCAGTCAACAATGTGTCTCTATTCTCAATCATCAAATTTTGATTGTGATCTTTTTACAACATTGACAAGTTGTTCATTCGAAACGATAGTATTGCCAAGGTAGCAAGAAACAAGAACTCTTAGCATCCTGGCTTCTATGAATCTTAGAACAGTTGATTTTTCTGGTGATCGATCTTGTTTTGTTTTTGTGTTATAGCTCATATTCAAGCAGTTTTTTCTATTAATGCATTGCATCTTTTGTTTATCTGTCTTTTAACATCATTGCTTCTATCTCTCTTTGCCTATCTGTTACATTTGCCTTACTATATTTAATAACGGTAGTTGATTCGTTCTAGTTAGAGTATGCAGAAAAACTCTCAAAATCCAGGTGGATTGAAAGTGAAAGAAAAATCAGCTAGCTTTTTTTCTCGTTTTATTTATTAGATTATCATGTCGTGTTCGTCATTAACAACAAAATCATCCACTCCCCATTCACAGTAGGAACAACAGGACGCGTCGTCGATGTGCTCCGAAATACTCGTCTATTTGTTGAGTTTTCAAGGATGACAGCTGTTAAGGTTGTCGCGGCCGCAACTACAATTAAACAATAATACTTATTCCGGGAATATTGTCTACATATAACTAACGGATGTTTGTTGTTATTGCTTATATTCTGCTTTTCATCTATACAAAATAATGATCACTATCATGAGTACTTCCCTACTCGCTTGTGATCATTACTAGTTATTTCTAATTCTAAATAAAAACAGTTTAAACCAATAAAATAAACTTTTTTATTTTCGATATAACTCCTTCATTTTTCATCCGATCGAGCTGACCTTTGTTTAAAAAAGATTTCCATTCAATTCTCTGCAAAATCTGCACACCATTTTTTCTGTATCACTTTCTAGTATCGTTTTAAATCATAAAAAGTAAAGAGCTACAAAACCTAGTACAGTGCAAGCATAAAAACGGTGATACAACAAGTAAAATACTTCGTGATTTGAAAAGTGGCATATGTCGTGCAACTGTTTCCAATGATGTAAAATGATCAGGGAGGCCGGCTCTATCCGACTGTCACGTCCACCTGGCTGACCACGTCTTATTCGAACAAAAAAAGTGATTCAAAAGGTGAAGAGTCGTTTAAAATGCAAGAAAAGAGTGTCAGTCAGAAAATTGGCTAATGAACTCGACCTATGAACTCGAGTGGTACAGCTGATGAGCACAAATCGATCAGGTCTTGTGCGTCGACTAAATACAGATGGTATAAACATATATTGTTTTATTAGAAATACAGAGAACCACACCTCCGTTCGGTTCTGCCTGTTGGATACCGTCAATCGGCGATTGGCTAGACGGCGTTTTGTCTTCGGCCTCCTTAATTTTATCGGATGAAAATCGTTGTTTTTTAGGGAAGGATTTCAGTTACCAGATCGGCCGTATTGAACACATCTGAGTCACCAGTCACAGATGGAGCTTGATTGGCAGAGGTTTTCACCTCTGTTTGAGAGTCTTAAGCAAGAGAAGACATTATTCATCCCAAACACATGTGTCTATTGTTCACACGCTCGAATGAAATCAGGATCTTCCATCAAACGACCAAACTCAGCCCAGGAAGAATCAGAATTTGATAAAGCCATTCTACAACGATAGAAAGCGTCTTTTTTGCTCTATAGCCTACGACAATCAAGTTAAAGAAATGAAAACGAAATGGAACAGCGAATGGACAATGAACAATGCGTTGAAATCACTGAGTCCACTGTCTATTTTTTGGCAGCCAAGGCGAAAAAAGAGCGGTAAGCATTCGTCACGTCGACCAGTTGTTTCGGCAACATCTATCAGTGTGTCATTCTTCGTCTATTTTTAGCTATTTCCGATTTTTTTGTGTAGAAAACCAAAATATTTGAAAGTGTTTTTATTGAACTTTATTGCTGGCTGCGTTCACTGCAACTGCAACATCCACTAAAGAAATACAAAGAACAAAATTTAGTTATTTCACGATTAAAAATCTTCGATCGACAATTATGTATCGCTCTTTATCAACAAACGTGGCAATCCTACTTCGAACTTGGATCGAAGAAGTCAAATCTGGCTAGTGCGTAACAAAATTCAGAATATAACATCAAATGTATTATTTGTCATTTGAAAAATATAGGATCCAGTGATTACCATGGCCAAAACAGCAGACGTTGAGATCAACCAACTCATTACGGAATATTTGAATGCTATTGAAAAAGAACTCAATCAATGCAATGAAACGTTGATAATTCAATCTGTTCGTTTCCACCAACACTTGCAATAGAAATGCTTGATACTTCTCTACAACAATTCGTTTGTTCATATCACAAACGATTCACCAAGAAATTGAACTGTCAGTTGGCTGAACTCAAAGATTCTATCGCCGATCATAGTCTATGGCAACAATCCTCGCCTCATATGCTCAGCATTCAGCAAGTATAACATGATGTATGTGATCAAATTTTTGAGCAGAATAAAGTAAACTAAATGAACACTCTATTCCAATGAGGCATTGTTGGAGATAGAGTGTATTGTTGGATAAATGGAAGAAAAATATACCAGTAGAAGTCTCTAAATATAGATGTCTATATGTTAGTAAATTCATTTCATTTTCACTTTTCGATTTTTGTTGTATCGAAGACCCTCTG